TAAACAAACAAACATAGATATATATATATATATATATATATATATTAAAACTACTAAATATCCAATATTGAACGCGTAGTTTCAAATGTAGTATGAGTCTATATTAGTGTTAACAAACAACCTGAAACGTCGAATAAATCAAGTTAAAACCTAAATTTGTCACATGATGCCCCACACGCACGCACGTACACGAACACACGCACACACATTACGTATAAAGAGAAAATATTTGAAATATTTGTGGTAATCGTTACTAGTGACATGCACATACTAAAATTCAAGCATGAATATTTAAGAGAAAAATTATACTTAAAGCATGTCCATCATTTATGGTTATTAATAAAACGAAAAGTTATTGGCGGTCATTTTATATTGATATTTTTTTTCTATTTTGTTGGTTAGATTTATTTACAAAATTGAGTGAAGGAAAAATACTATTAAAGAAATATCATTTTCTCCCTATATTTAAAATTTAAATGTATTTTGAAATATTTCCATAATATCTGGTCATTTTGATCTCAAAAAGCAAGTAATTCTATGATAATATGTATTAATCATTTAAAAGTACTTTTTCTGTGTTCTTTCAATCATAATCATTTACTAAAAAGGTTTAATTAGTAATATTAATTTGATTTTACAACATCATATACTATATGATATGATAGACACGTGCAACACACGTGCGTGAAATTTCCACCATCTCTAACGCGTCATTGCCACCACCACCTTCACTGAATACATTATTGTTGAATTCACACATACTTTTAAACTCTCACATAAAAAAATTCTAAAAACCAATCAAATAAAATGACATGCATTTATATTACCCTAAAAAGGGATTTGGATATTTAGAAAATAAAATCAAAATGGGTTTATATTTAATCCAATCAAACTCCCCAATTAGAAAGTTTTCTAATTAATATAGATCCTTCAGTTTATTTTCCAGTTTACCTCTCTTCATTGTTCGACTGGCCAGTGAAATGCTATCGCAGCCACCACTATCCCGCCTCTGGCGAAACCCAAACCACCAGCAAAATCCTTTCTCTCCTCCTCGCATTGATTCGAGATCGGCGAACTCCGCTGAATCAAGAAAAACCTCGACAAAGTAACGATATGCACAAATCTTGTTAGCTTATTTTTCATGTTTTTCGACGAACAAAGCTCGAATATCACTTGATGAGCTCTGCTATCATTGTTCATTTTTGTTCTTCACAATTCAATTCCAATGGATTTTGGTGTATAAGTTATAGGAAAGTTACTTTAGGAATTCGAAGGAGATGGGAGAAGAAATTACTTTAAGATTTGAAGAAATTGGAAGAGTGTAGGAGAAAGGGGAAAGGAATTATAAAGAAGAATGAAAAAATATCAAATTAATAAAATTTCCACGTGTCAAGCACGTGAATTTCACATATCAACATAAATGTGGTTGTGACTTTTTAAGGGTGTAATTAGTTCAGTTTTATATAATTTGAGGGGATGATAGGACTCCCATAAAGTTGAAGTGTGTAGTTAAAAATCCAAATAGTTAACCGAAGTATAAATTAACTTGTGTACGCTCGAATATTTATGTCAAAAAAATAGG